TGGGGATGTAGATCCAAACGAAACAGAAAACAACACGGTCGTCTTTGCATGAGGACAAATGCCGTCCTTGAATATAGATAATGATTTTTTTTGATTTTTTTTTTATCTCTCGTTTAAATTGTTGTTAATGAGTTTTTCTTTGAAAAGATTTGTATTTCTCTGTACAAGAATTAAAATGTACTATTCATAGAACGTATAAGTGGTTTAAAACGTATCTTATTTAAAAAACCGAATATATACATGTTCGTTACATTTATTTGTCAATGAAGATATATGTTATAAACACAAAACGGTATTTTCACCGTTATGTACATATGTATGTGTACGAGGTTGATATATATCGCGGACAACCATATATTGGTATGTTTTTACATTATATTTATTGATGCTCTTGATTGTATAGATTTTCGTATTGACATATATAGCTGTTGAATCCGACTCTGTAAATCTTGCATTTGTCATCTGCTTCAATGTTTGATGAATTAAGTGGATCGCGTGTTCAAAACTATGACGTCAATTCCTTTGTGACGTTGTGAAAAAATTAAATGTGTAAAATTAATTAAAATTTATTTACGTTAACACTACCCTAACAGTATCATGACAATGACTTGGTTTTCATTCTACTGAATCAAGACGGCAAATTTAATGTCACACTTACAGAACTAGGTTTTTCTTGAAAACAGCTTGTAAAAATATCTCTATTACGACACTCACAGTAGTTAAAGCTATCATACTTAATGTTGCCTTCAGAATAACATAGAAATACTTTACATTATGATAAAGAGGAAACATATAATGGTATAAACGGTGGATAATAGCAATTTTATAACACTATGGCCAAAGTTACATAACTACAGCTACCTTTACTGAATAGAGCAAAACTGTATCTATTTGAACGATCGTGAACCATTTTCACTATACAACTCGTTGCGCTCCTTAAAGTTTTATCAGACAAAAATCAACCGATGCGCATATAGTGAAAACTCTCTGGGTGGTGATCGCAGACCACTATTTAATCATGCAACCCACCAGGGTATGACTGTTAATGATTTCATTTATCGATTTGTTTAGCCTGGTTTACTGTTGCTAGTACTGCCGCGTGTCGCCTTTGTTTTGTCGCTGTTAAATCTCCGCTATTACAAGATTAATAAACATCCACTTCAATTCATTAAAATTATCATTCACGCTGCGAACATCAAAACCACCCTAACGGATCAAAAATAGCGACAGGCGCGGTTATCAGAAATTTGTTCTATTCATCGAAAACCTATGACGTTGATACTCCTGTGGGAAGGTATGGGCGATAATGAGATTTAAACGGAGGGAAATTTACTGGCAAACAATCGTCCCTGCTAATGAGATATGACAAAGAGTCGTCACTAAATCACAGAACCAAATTCTCCGACTACGGATCAATTTAATTGTTAGGGAGAACGGTTGGGATGACGTTAAAATGAGCAATTTTGTGAAATTTACACGACACTGCTACTTAATGAGATCCATATGTAGCTATGCAAATTAAAATATAATGTTTTGAACAGTCAATCAATTTTTAGATTACAGAGTAAGATTGAAATATTTTATCCGGCATTCAAAAGGCAATTAAATGTTACAAACATTTTTATATTCGTGTGCGGAATTTAATATCTGCTTTTTAGCTTCTTTGGAAATTAAATATTTTTAATTCTAATCTTGAAACCATTAGCCTTAAGATGCTCTCATTATAAGCGGAGATTACAACCCGCAATAAACCTGTGGATTTTTCACAAGTTTCTTCACAGAAATGAATTAAGAAGATGTTTCGGAGCTGGATTTCGCGTGAAATTCACATTGTTGCGACATAAATGCCCTTAACATCGCTACATATAACACCGGGACACCACTTCGACGCAAAGAGAACGACATTTTGCAGCAAGCAGGGGGCCGATAGCAGATGGGGGAAAGTCATTTTCTACCACAAAAATAATGAACAGCTAACATTCACACATTTGTACTGTAGCATTCAGTATTTCTGGCGTTTTACTAATGTTAAGGAGCCGTGTTACAAACACATCATCAACAATGTCATAAAAAACGATTGAAAAGTACGGACGAGTGGGTCCGGTTACCGATTTATTTCTTATAATGCACTTTACGCCAAGATGGCCGCTGCATATGTTACATGCAACAATAGTCCATAGAAACGTTGAACTCTACAAAGCCGTTAGTTTGTGAATAGAGGTTAGCAGTTTCATAAATATGAATGTACTTTAACATCTTGGCTGGCCTCTCGATTTAGTGATTATTTTTAATGATTTCGCATTAATGCGAACGGAAATTTGTGCGGCAACTGGATTCAAATCAAACATAGACCTCGTATACGGGTGTTGATTGTATAGACTTCTCTTTTGCTTCCTCTCGTGTAACTTGTATTCTGTGTTGGAAGTCGATATTGTTAACACGTGCGGTATTCGTGTATTCGACTGGTCCGAAATGATCGAAGCACATTTTGGCAGTTTTATTTTCCTTTGTCATTTGTATAATATAAAGTAACTGATCATTTTGAGATGTCAATATATATTGTTAAAAAACAGTAGTTGAGTGTACCCTGCATTATTAGCTGTCTAATCGAAACGTTTTTCATCAAATCTAAAACGTTAATTTAAACTGCATGAGTAATACAGGAACCTCTTTATTATGAACAAATCCACAAAGATGTGTTCGAAGATTTTGTGTGGATGTACAAATCGATTTTCATAATTCTGATATCGTCATTTTACTCGTCTAATAAAAATTAAAATGAAAACAAAATATGTACCTGAGCGTCAACACTAAGACATATTTTTTAACTCGAAATCGATATAAGAAAACAACTTCATGAATTGTGGATACACCAAAACAAAAGGAAAATCAACATGGCTTTAAAATATATACGCAGGCGAACCGATGATCTGTTCGCGTAAACGTTTCATGTGAGAAGTTAAGATTTTATAAAGGCATAGTCGACAAATTATTTTTTATTTGTCCTTTGGAAATTAGGTAAAGAAAGAAAAAAAAATCCTCAAAATGAAGATCTAGGTTCACAAAAAGGATTTCGCTGATCTGTCGCTTTCTTTTACTAAACAGCTTTTTGAGTTCTTTTTTCGTGCCATTTTCTTATGCTTTGAGATTCTCTTCATCTATTTTGGTTTTCAATCTCTTAATCAACCATCCATACATATTTATTCTCGGAAAAACACGAAGAAACGTATAGGGTTCTTTCTTAAGTAATCTCAAATTTCGAGAAATCAAATTAAATTTGACAGATTGAAAGATTGTGTCGATGTTGATATCTTGATGACTTATGATCTGTTTCAGGAGGGAGTCAAATCGTCCTAATAATCGTATCGATGTACCTCTTTTACCGTAAAACATTGCAAATAACGTTATAGAGTGAATCAGGCTACTGAAACCGTTTTCATTGAATGTCATTATATTAGGTACCCAGTGATGTGACTTTGATGTAAGTAAATGGAACACTTATATCCATAATATCTTAATCATTGATGTCTAACGTTAAAGAAAATGTTTTATAAAATAATTGTTCACATACGAAATGTATCACATATGAAATTCATTAAGAAAAACATCTTTACACGTTTTCCTCTCGTATTAAGAAATACAACTTTTGTAAGTATGGTTTATATTTGCTAATCTCCGTAGCAGATAGAACGTGTTAGCGAACGCATTAGGTTTATAGTCCACGTATAAACAACATCAAACATCATAGAATATCAGTCATGTTTTTAATCCGAGATATTTCCCCCGTTTTACCAGCACTTACCAACTTCAAACGTTTGGGGCAAAATCCATGGCTTACAATGTTAAAATATATTTAGGGTAGAGGGCAGTTAGGCGAGATCTTATTTCCCCTTTTAGTAAAATCATTCGTTTATATTAGCAAACTAATTCGGATATATATTTCAAACATTTCTACGGTAAACAGTATACAGGATTTGAAAAATGAAATATATTCCTGTAACGTTTCTGTTATTTTCTATATTTTCATACAAATACAGTTCAACTCTTCTAACCCCATTGCACCCCTCCCCTTTATTTACTTTAAGTATTTATGCACCAACAGTCAACGCCGTCCTATCGCTGCTTGATGAATGTAAGGAGACGAATTAATAGAAATACCCTGTACTTGTTTTCGAATCCTTGTAGTATGTATATTATTTGTATTGCTACAAAATGTTGACAAAAAATAAAGTTTGCACTAACGATAGTTATAAGTTGTGGAGCAGTTTAGGGAGTCTGAATGTTTTAAATGTATTCCCAATTATCTTGCGACATGGAGAGCAATTGATAAAAGCTTTATTTATAATCAAGAGGTACAGGGAACGAATTCTTGTGGCGGAGATTGATTTTTTTTAAAGAAATTATAAAAATATGTCTTTCGTATATAACTCGTTGTTATAGTAAAGAATATAAAACAATCCTTGCAAACTGGAACTGAAAAACAATACAGATAGCCGGTACTCTCTACCAAAACCATAGCGTGTATTAATATTATAAGTAACTATTTTGTTTTTAGACAAGATCATATATTGAAATAAAGAATGAGAAAAAAAATAATGGTCAAAGTAATTGCTGTGTATAGCCTAGTACGTGTGTGTTTTCAATATAAGTGATTCATAAAATATATATACCAATTTTAATTTTGATGTCAATCGAGTCGTTCTTATTCCTTCCTTCCTTCATTTCTTTCTTCTTTCTTTCCCAAATTTCTATCAATTTTCATAATGTTAAAAAAACAAGTAGTTGTAGCTATTGTTTGGTCCTAAATATCAAGTGCTTAAAATCGATGAACAGAAACTGCACTGACCGCATCAGGGCGAGTCCAGTACCCATTAGAAGAATATGCAAAAGTAGTGGGTCCTGCATACAGTCTGATGATTAAAATGATATTTTTTTTAAGTTCTAATGATGTTTTTGTGTGTATTAATTGTCGACCTTTGATTTTATAGAAGATTGATAGACTGACACAATATACAGATGTGCATTTTCATATTTTATTAATTAGAATAAAGATAATCTTTAAAAATACATCACTTTTCATGCAAACACGGGTGCACCAAATTACATATTTAAATATTCATATCCTCACATCGACTGACATACTCGCATGCAAATATAACTTTCAATCCGCTATAAAACAATCTCAAATGTCATTGTTTCTTGAACATTTCCATGGGGTCATTTACACAATATCAAATAAAGGGGAGGTCACTCTGTATGTTTTTGTTCTTCAGCCTTCTGAACAACCCCGAGATTTACATTCGGCAGGAGAGTTCACTTTGTCACTTCCGGAGTCATTTCCGGTGTCTTTCTTTGCGTCCGTACAACTATGCGTCTTGGTGTGTTTGCTCAAGTGGTCACTGCGCATGAATCGTTTATTACAGATTGGACAAGCAAATCGTTTTTCTCCTGTGTGTGTGCGCAAATGACGTTGAAGTTCATCGGATCGTGTGAAACGTTTTCCACAAAATAACCAATTACATACAAAAGGCCTTTCTCCTGTATGCCATCGCAAATGCGCTTTCAAATGTGATGTTTTCCCGTACACTTTTCCACATCCGGGAATATGACACGAGTGAACGTTTTTCTTCCTTATATGTGCACCAGCTGGTCCTAGTCTCTCGGCCTCTTGGCAGTTAGGGCAATCACATGTTGCCCTCCCGCTCAAGCGTCTCTGGGATTTCGTTTGAGGCACATTCGACAAAACTGGACGAGAAAGAAAAGGATTTCCAGACGAGGCACCAATGTCTGTTTGACTGGATAACATAGATTTATATGTGTCCTGCAAGAGTTGTTGATTTCCTCCTATATATGAACCCGAGGGTGATCCGAGTCCATGTGTGAGAGGGTATTCCGGAGAACTATATCCGGAAGAAATCTGAGGTGGCAACGAAGACGAGGCTCCAGGATACTCCGAGTACCAATTACTAGGTGAAGAATGAACATCCCACCATGGCGAGGTTGGATTAGAGCTCTGTGATGAATCGCCCTTAAGGCTTGTGTGTGTGATGTTCATATTCAGCGACCAAGACTCGTACGCCGCGTGACTGTTAACGTGAGGTAAACGAGAGTATACATTTCCCAACACAGACGCACTCATACAATCCGAATGATGCACCTTTGACGGGTAGGTTGGGGAGGGAGTATCGTTGTTATACTGTGAGGGGTGAAGCCAGTCCGATGATGACGTAGTAGGATATGACGCAATCCCGCCAGTGCGTCCATATGAAAGACCCGCGGACGGAAAGGGCACCGTCCCATTGAGTCCGGACAGACGCTGTGAAGATAGAGCGACAGCGTCCGGTGCAGTGACAGCTGTGAGTTGCCGTTTCCAAGGGTGGAAACCCTTAGCGATATAAGATTCCGTGAGAGGGGAGGGGCATCTGTCCGTCAGTTTACTGCATTGGGCTGCCAACATCGCAAGTGGGGCGCCACCTATGTGGTACGAATCCTACAACAAGAGAAGATAAATCTATAATATACTGACATGTTTTAATTCAGAGTTAAACAATAGAAAACAGCATCTTGAATTCGTTTCCATTTCATGTGAGATTTAATGAAATTCGTCTGAAGTTCTCCTTTTTCTATCTTCAGTCCTTTGCTAATAAATCTCATAAGAAATAGACATTCGTTTTTAAGATCCTATATAGAGTTTTTCGCATTCAGCAAGTCTCCCGTATCAGAGAGAAAAATCAAACACGTCATACTTGTCTGATGTTCCGCAAACAAATGTAACTCCTCACATATCAAGTTTAGCCAGACTTTCAGTTGACAATGGGTATTATTTCGCTTGTTTACATATCAATGTTTTTCAAAAGATACGTAATAGTGTGACGTTAATTAGTCCATTCCTCTGGTATATGTTTCGACCACGCCCACTCACACCTAATGTCACGCCCCTAACACCTAGACCACGCCCTCTAACGCCTCTCTGATTAGGATTCGTCTTGATGCTTATTTGTTCAAAAATTAACAAAAGTACTTTAGTGTCTCTATTCTTTAAGTTCTTCTTTTGTTTGCTAGTGACATTTTTATAAGTTGAACACTGAATAATTTGTATGTAACTACACGTATATATATTTTTATGTACTATGCTATGGTATAGAATGTTTGCCTGTCATGCACTCAAACTATGTTATATATACATGACCTCTTGTTACACATATTATGTGTGTCTGAGTGAGTGACATAAAAATCTTGAAATCTTGATGCTTTCATTTCTGCATTGCAAGGTTTCACTGGGATTATGAAACCGTGTTTACCTTTTCTATGTACCGAACAATGCATAAAAACACAAGTTTTTCCACCCTTAAACACTTTCTCTCTCCAAAATGAAGTGATAGTTCTTGGTACAATAATTCAGACCGAATACAGTGAGGGAAACGTATTGTGTGCTTTAAATTGTTGCTATTTAATATGGAGAAATCCCCTGGGATGTAACTGTTTTTTTTATGTATATTGATCGGTTTAACAAGATACGGTTTTCAGATAAAAATAAAATAAAACGGGCAATAAGGAAATTAACATTTAAATATAGACATTTGAAACCCATGAAACTTTAAAACAGAAGATTAAAACGCTTTGTTCTTGACAAATTTAAACAACAGGACCATTATGACTACAACTGATCAAGATTCAATCTGATATTAGGAACCTGTACGTTTCCTTTATATAAATAAAATTGATAAAAACCAGAACATCAAAATCTTAAAAAGTATCATTCGTGTTTAAGTAATATTGATGAAAATGGTATAGGGTTTTTACTAATACAGAACAAGAGTTTCTGACTGCGGAAATTTCCTACAGTCGAGGCCTAAATGAACTAATAGATAGACTTGAATGAGACGTCTCCATAAACATATCAAGTGATCCATATTTTATGTTATATAGATCTTTAAAAAAATAAACGTAAAGAAACAGGGAATGTGTAATTCATAGCTACATTACAGGTATATAATCACAGAACTTGGTGTTGATATTGTATACAAAGATTCTACGAAGAAAAGTGTGCTTGATGCAATTGATTACCACTGGTCAGTTAAATAAAATCCCCAAAATTAAAAGTAAAGAACATGTGATCCGATACACAATCTACATAAATAGTCTAAAATAAATGACAACAAATGATGTCGATATGAAATCTGCTAACCCGACACCGACATACCTAACGTTAAAACGGCCTGACAGTTTACGAGTGAGTGGGACCCCCTTACTGTATACGGAATAGGCAAGACCGGGACCGGGCCGGGTAGTATTGTATCCTCATGTAAATTACACAGCATTTCTCAATGAAAGACTGTTGACCTGTGTATCTGTATGAAATGTTCGGCACTGCAGTATGAAACAAGATTTGGACGAGTTTAATCGGATTCACCGCCACATCAAAAGATAATTACTCTATCCTTGGAGAGAGTTAAAGAAATATTGAGAAAGACGTTTCAATGAGGATGACACCCCTTTCATCCCATTCTCAACAGAAAACAAAATGCGTGCAAGTCAACGAGAAAATCTCCAAGTGGACGTCAATGGAAAGTAGCGTTATAGCCGCAATACCGGTCTATATAAGGCTTGACCTTTAACCTATCTTGGCGTAGATCGGGCACCTTGCTGTGCCGAAGAAAACCTATAAGCAACCGCTGTCTACCATACAGACCTGCCGTGGAGTTTTATTGTCAAACAGTGAAGAAAACTCAATAAATTTTGTCCCTGAACATTTTTTCAACTCCTTTGGAGTATATTGTACCTAGGCACCCCTTATGGGCTCCGATCGGTACAGAAAGGAACCTCTTTGTTGCTCACGAACTGTGAAACATGGCCCTGCTAGTGTTTACAAAGCCAGCGGTAAAGAGAAAATTTATCGGTTTTTCAAATAGGATCCTTTCATTTTTACACCTTAATCCTTGAGGACTTTTTATGATAATTCAATTTCATATGAATTAAGAAACATATTTGATATTCCATTGACAGGCGTTGTGTTCTGACTGGGGAAACCATATTGCGGTCGTATCGGTGGGTTTATTGGCATTAGTTCTGCCTTTTTATTGTAGAAGGAAACTATTGTCAGAGGTTCTTAGTCATGTACATCAACGTGTATCATAGTAGTGTCGTGTCTAATTCATTATTATGGAAATTAAACAGAGAAACGACTTAATAACGAGAAATTTTTTATTTAATTTAATATTCATAACTCATTTTCAAATTATTCACTTTATTTATGCTCATAATTAAAACGGAAAATCAGCAGCAACAACGTTTTTGTAAAAATCAGCCTGAACTGCAGAAATATGTCGGAAATTTGTATAAAATGACATAAATACTTACAAACAAAATAAATTGTTATGATGTATTGAAATAAAAACTCATAAACACAATTTGAAATATACCCTCATATTAATTAACTAATTCATATTGATAAATTAAATCAAGAATCTATGTATAAATGTTTAAATCCTATTTTTCACATATGTTTATATTTTGTCTAATGAGTATAATTACAATGGTCTGTATTTATTTTTATTATAGTCCCATATTTTCAATGTAATTATAGGTTTATTAAAGTTTCCCATCGAAGAAATTTCCAAATGCAGTTTCATGTAGACAAATTTATGTATCCATTTTTTTTCTATAATGAAGGAAATAAATATTTTTTAAAACTTTATGTTAATGATACCGTAACACGGCCTGTTTTACTTTGGTGTAATGTATGAGGACGTGTTCGACTTAACCGGCCATAATCGAGAACAACCATCAGCGAGATCCTGACAGCTTATCAGCTTCGGGTGCAATCGGGCACTTACCGCGGGAAATGTGATCCCTGCGAGTATCAGAATTTAACTCCGGAACAAGAGAGTTCTTATCGGGACAATTTTCGTCGACGTCTGATTAGGAATTAAATTATATCGGTTGTATTTGACCTTTGACATCTCAGCACGTTTAACACCATCTGTTTTTGCAGTCACTGTCAAGTGTAATAGCGACTGATAGCCCAAAGCCGAGCTAGTCTCATCGGCGCAGGGCGATGATAAATCCCAGAGCCAACATATAGTCATTGATACGATCATTCCGGAAAAACAAAAATGGTCATCGTTGTCAGCAATTACGCCAGTTTTAGTTACGACTGTAATAAATTTCTGCAGAAAGAAGATATAAAGTGTTAAGAAAGATGATTCCCAAAAATGCTAATGATTTATAAAAGGGGTCTTTAAGTCAAAAGTGTTAGCTACAACTGTTTCTAGGACATAAATTATTTAGATTTGTAAAGAACCATTAAGTGCAGGACACAACGAAAGAACAAGACGTCACTCTCCCTGATGTGTTTTCTTTATCAGGCTGGGTATGTTTTCTTATCGGTTTCTCTTTTGATGTTGAGAGAGAAATATTCAGTGAAGAGATTAAATTCAGAGAAATAAATCGGTACATACATTTAAATATATCATTTTCGGGGACATTTAGTTCACCCGTAAGAAAATCTTTGTCCTATAAAAATCCTTGTCGTTACTTATTCCGTACATTTCTATTTTTCAATTTAGTCTTTCTCTATCCCATATTGATTAAAATGCAAATATATTATCTGTTTTGTTTGAAGTGTACTACCCTCGGGGAACGGGGCGTTCCCCACTAAAATAGGTGTAACCATATCACAGACCCGAAACACTAACTTAATTTATTTGTGATTTATGATCCCTACACGGATAAAAAAATCAAATCTGGTGGAATCTTTCCTGCGGGAAAGAAAAGTTGGTTGCCACACGTGGATCGCATGTGCCCAAGGCGGAAGTGTAATTCAGCAGAAAATGAAGTCTCGCGATAGGCGTGAATTTGAGATAAATAACAATGGCGGGCGGTTGTTAGCCCGCGGGAGGGTTCCCTATCGATCTTCTAACAGCATATCGATACATACACACAGGAGCAGATGAGGTTTAATTATATATATACTCAGACAGGTGTAACTTAATTGTATACAAGGTACAACACAGACAAATACAGGTGGTCTTAAAGATGATATCTTCTAATGTCGAGCCTAAAGCATGTTTGTTGATATACGGCGCTCTAACGGACAAATTGGATAAACCACAAACTACTTAAATTTGAGATTTAAACTTATCGAGAAGTGTTTGACTCTATTTATTGGCGAGTTACGTGTTAAGAATACATTTTATATCAGTTAATCAACTGGTCTTAATTATGGTGTATTCTTTTTACAAGTGACACCTGTATTTGTTATCATACACCCATTGTAATACATGTGGGTTTGATAATGTTTACAAACAATATATAGACATCGGAATGATTCTAAATCGATACAATTGACTTTGCATCAATTTGGAATAAATCAAATGTGTATATATCCCAGCAGTGCTACACATTAATGTAAAAAATCCCTTCAACTTATTACAATTGGCAACTCATTATGAAATATTTGTTCGAGTCATTTTCTTTTACATATCTTCC